CCGCCCGGGAATCAGCTGGCGGCTCCCCAGCCCCGTTCAGAGCGGGAATGGCAGCTCTGTGCCCGCAGGCGGGCAGGACGGCCCCAGGCAGCAAGGAAAAGCCCCATCCGGATTTTATTAGAGTTAAGCACAAATACAAAAAGGCAGGAACCGTTAAGTTAATGGAGAGGAACCTGAGCGCGGGCCAGTCCCATGAGAAGCCAAGGCGCTCCGGGTGCCAGCTGCGGCCGAGGGGCAGCCGCCTCCCACGTGACACAAGCAGTCACCGTGCTAGTGCAACTCGGTCACCAGTGAAACGAGTTTGGAGGGGCTCCTCCGTAGGCCTTGATATTTACACGTCCTGTAACCACTGCACCAGGCACCACCGGACAGAGCCGGACCAAACCCAGGGCCGGAACAGCAGGGCTGCAGTGGAGGGCACCAGCGACACTGGGGGAGAGGAGGACTAAATTAGCCAGGGGCTGCATGGTGGGATTGAAGGGCACCAGCAGGACTGGGGGTGGGGGAGCCCAGGCCTGGGATGCCCTGGCCAGGGCAAAGGGGAAGCGGGGGAGTTGCCTGGCCCACCCACATGGATTCCGACTCTTCCCCAGTCCCCTCTGCTGCCAGAAACGAGCCCCAGAAATGGATCGAGATATTTCAAACCAAGTCGAGTGCCTGTCCCCAGGGAGCCTGCCCCTCCCGCACACGGCCGCCAGCCAGGGGGGGGCTCACAGGCCAAGCCCAAATGGCTGCAACAAAGCTCCCCAAGTGTCACGTTCCTGACCCAACGGGGGAATTTTCTCCCCCCAAAAACAGCTGGGGGGAGGAGGGCACGACCAGAAATGGATCGAGATATTTCAAACCAAGTCGAGTGCCTGTCCCCAGGGAGCCTGCCCCTCCCGCACACGGCCGCCAGCCAGGGGGGGGCTCACAGGCCAAGCCCAAATGGCTGCAACAAAGCTCCCCAAGTGTCACGTTCCTGACCCAACGGGGGAATTTTCTCCCCCCAAAAACAGCTGGGGGGAGGAGGGCACGAGCGACAGTTCGGGGAGCTCCAGGGTCTTCAGCCTGCAGCTGCAGGACTGGCCCAGAGGGGCCGTTTCCCATTCCCCCCACCCCCCCAGAAGGAGCCAGGTTAGCCAGCCGGGGGCGCAGCACCACAAGGGCTAGTCCCAGAGAGGGGGGCACGGTGTGTGTGTCTGGGTGTGTGAAGAAACACCCAGGATTGGCTCAAACGTGCCAGAGCTGGGCCAATGGGATCGAGGGGGGTCCAGGAATGATTTTTAAAAAGTTTAGGCACAAAAGGCAAAGGCAGGCAGGTCCCGTCGGGATCTCCACGTGAGCCTGAGTTTGTCCATGGCCCAGCCTGGGGGAGCCCCACGTCCTGCTCCCAGGGCATCTGTCCTCGCCCCCAGGCCTGCCAGGGAGAGGTTATGTGGGGCGCTCAGCCCCTCTGGCCTAGACCCAGGGAGGACGATGGGGCAGAGACCCGGCTGCAGACGCTGCGAAGGTGGCTCATCAGATCCTCTCTGCAAACAAAGAAGAGCGGTTTGTCCATGGCCCAGCCTGGGGGAGCCCCACGTCCTGCTCCCAGGGCATCTGTCCTCGCCCCCAGGCCTGCCAGGGAGAGGTTATGTGGGGCGCTCAGCCCCTCTGGCCTAGACCCAGGGAGGACGATGGGGCAGAGACCCGGCTGCAGACGCTGCGAAGGTGGCTCATCAGATCCTCTCTGCAAACAAAGAAGAGCGGCCGGGAGGGGTGGACCCAGGCGCAGGGGGGCCGAACGGGGGCCGAAGTGCTGCCCAATCCCGTCTGGCGGGAGCATGAAGAGGAGGGAGGCAGGGAGCAGGGGCCACGCCTCAGAGGCAGAGAGCTCGCGGCTCACCCGGCCTCGATCCAGCGCCCGCCAGAGCGGGCCTGATCCTGCAGCTGCAAGCGCTGGCGGATCCGTCGTCTCCCGCCTTGCCCCCGTCCTCGCAAGCAAGGCCAAGGGCAGAGACTCCCAGCTGGGCTGCGGGGGGTCCGCCTCGCGCCCCACGGATCATCCACAAGCACTTGGCAGCGCCAGAGCCATGCAGAGAGGCAGGGCCGGCATGGCAGCGGGACTGGGAAGGGACATAGGCTCGTTAGCATAACGAAGGCCCTTGGGCACCTGGGAGAATGGGGCAGCAGCCGCCTGTGGAGGGGCGCTGCCTGGCCTCCAGGATTTGCCCTCTTCCCTGTGCTCCTGCAGGAGGCGAGGCGGGATGGCAACTCCCCATGGGGGAGCTCAGCACCTCGCAGGATCAGGCCCGTAGGGCTGGCGAGAGACGCTGGGGTAGGGGCAGGGGGCGAGCGAACCT